GCTTTCCTTATAAAAGAGACGGAAAACTCTTCTTTTTTTAAACGGTTTACAGGGTTTCAGAATCAGCCAACTTGAAACACATTTAAATGTAATAGGTGTTCAATATGCAGTTTTGACAAAACCAGGTAAATCGCAGAGACCTCATACGAGGCCATTTGGAGTTACAGACAGACCTCTACCAACTGCATAAAAACCAATCAAACATACCGTATTCGACGTAATCAGCACCCCGCTCTAATAAGCGCCCACGGCGATATTTGCTAATATATTGGCTAGTGAACAATCCCATTTAGCAACCCTTCCGATTGATCAATGTAAACAAGACTTATTTATTCGTGTATAATACGCACTCGTGTGTAATATGCACCCTCAATTATGGGCAATTAAATTCTGGAAAAATATATCTGTCATATATAAACATTTCAGGCTGTCAGCATAAACCACAAAATTTATCTTTTAACTCTGTTTTTTTCACCAAAATAATATTCTAATAAGAGCCCCCTATTTCTAATTTTGAGAGCGCCCTGGACGCTTATTACGTCGAATACGGTACTTGCTATGCTCTGCCAGGTTATGAGATTGTACGATTTAGTAGTAAGACCTCATGAGTTGGGAAGCAGATAAAATTTGTGCTTCAAACGTCCAATGTTCTAAAATCGAAGACAAGAAATGAAACGTTTTCATTATGGAATTGAACCTGCAACCTCACATATGGTGTTAAGTTTGTAACCCACTGTTTTCCCACTGAGCCGTCGAGGCAGGTGATGAAAGGTTGCTCAATTTTAAATGTCATTACTTAGTTCAAATAATTTAAATCAGATCTTAGTTCTCGCTATGCTTAAACAAAGATCTGAGGACATCCCATTAAGGGTCATGTCAGAAAGACCTTTCATCCAACCAATCAGAGCGTCGCTTACCAGATCATGAAAGTGACAGTCGGAATGTGTTTTCTAATCATGCAACCACGAAATATTTAACACGGGGTATTCTGAACGACAGTTATTGGTTTTAAGAGTGAGTGAGTGAGTATGGTTTTACGCCGCTTTTAGCAATATTCCAGCAATATCACGGCGGGGGACACCAGAAATGGGCTTTACACATTGTACCCATATGGGTTTTATGAATATATCCATACAATATAGGCCATCTATAAGCCATTCCAGAATGTTCTTGTCAATTTTAATTTTTAAAATCGAGAATATGTCAAAATATGTTTCGAAACGTAGTCGCCAGTATGAAACTAGTGTCGTAAAGCTCGAGAAAGCTGCCTTCTGATTGGCTAATGTCGATTTCATGTCAGTCATTTCACCGGTCGGTCAAAAGGTCGTTCTGACGTGACCCGTAATTGGATGTCCTCAGATCTTTGTTTAGCGGTAGCGAAAACTAAGATCTGATTTAAATGAGGTTGTTACTTAGTTTTGTTTATGTTGCACATGTTTTTGACTCGCATGCTTTGATCGCATTCCTTTTATACCGCAACACACTGTATTGTTTCACTGTAAGATATCACAATGGTTTTTTTCTTCATTTTTTTCTGTTATTTCTTGCCTTTAGACGGTTTATAAGCCGTAGAAAACACTACCCCTGGGTATTTTTAGCAATTAATTCATGACAAATTTAAAGCGATGCAACTCTAAGTATTTATCGAAACGCATCATCATTGTTGTCAGAGTTCATTTCAACTGAGGGGTCAGATTTTTTTCAAATCTTACTGTTTAGTTCATCGTAGCATTAATACTTATTTATTTCCTCGATTTATAAGTTGGGCAAGGTACTCTGACTCGGTCTTGATGCGTGTAGTAAGACCGCAGGTGTGTAGGGTAGGACAGATAGTCCTGTCCAATCTCTCCTACCCTATCTACATACAGTCTTTCTACTCGCATCAAGATCTCGTCCTCATACCTCAACCTTTACTTGTGGCATTACACATTTTGATCTAAAAGATTACCGTATTCGACGTAATAAGCGCCCGGGGCGCTCTCAACATTAGAAATAGGGGGCTCTTATTAGAAAATAATTTTGGTGAGAAAAAAAAAACAGAGTTGAAAGATTGTAAATTTTGTAGTTTATGCTGACAGCCTGAAATGATACAAAACAAAAGTATGTGCGTATCATACACGACAGATATATTTTCCAGAAAATAATTGCTCATAATTAAGGGGGCATATAATACACAAGTGCGTATTATACACGAATAAATAAGTCTTGTGAACATTGATCAATTGGAAGGGGTGCTAACAGGGATTGTTCACTAGCCAATATATTAGCAAACATTGCCGTGGGCGCTTATTACGTCAAATACGGTAGGCGCTTTTGTTATAATTATTGCGTAATATAGAAAAGACACACCTTAACTGAAAATGGCACGCCTGATTCTTTTCTAATTTCAAGCCCTGCTTCCTTGGGACTCCAACTTCTAAATAACACCAAAGGAGTTATATGTGGGAGGAAAGCCTGAAGTGTTGCAGGTCTCAGACCACTTCAATGAAAACCCACAAGCACAAGCACGGTGCTGACAAGCCTAGAAACATAATCAAGGCAAACCAGAATTCTAACCTACAATCATAGGTTTCCCGTGCCCCCAACTAGACTGAAGGTTCGACCTGGTTTCAGACAGGTCAACAAGGAAGGGCTGTGATCATAAGGTCTACCTATTGTTACAAAGGATCAGTCAAGGTAACTCAATCAGTCTATGGTTAAATAATTCAGATAATAATATATTTATAAATAAATATGTAATGCATTGTCCAAGCAAAATTGCGTAGTGAAACCGACATTAGGTTTGTAAACTGCCATGCAGATTGAGGTTGATAGCAGGATTTTCAAAGCATTTGTACCGTCAGCTTGGTGTCTACCGATAATTTTCCAAATCTTTTCATGTTTTTCATCACGGTGCTCAAGTAATTTGATGCATGTCACGAGGTAAGACCTGCTTTATAACAATGTAGAGCTTGATTATCGATTAGATCGTCTTGACTCGGCACTGACATTTCTTTGAAGTGCAAGTAACATGATAGGTGGAATCTGATTGGTCAATAGGAAGGACACAGAAGGACATAACTCGTCATAGCCACTGGTGGCGCTACGGTCGAGCCACAAATTCCAGCCTAGTTTGGCAGGGGTAAAAACTGGACTTTTATAGTCAGTTAACACCCTTGCCTTGGGAAGCGGGGAATTATCTAGCCAAACCTGTAAATGTTACTATACACAGACATCAGGCAATGGTAGTCTTAAAGCCTTCGTACAAGTGTCAGAACATGTTCATTCTCATGAGATCTGAAGTCTTCCTAACCACAGCTGAAAGATGATAGGCCAACTGATATAGATACTAAACCCATATAATACTAATAACAGGGATCTACCCAGATCTATCTATTTTCAATCATAATTTTCGAGGTCCAAACATGAACATGGGGTTACCAGGCAGGATACACTGATATCATGTCATTGCATATGCTTTAACCTATATTAGATGTGATTTCAATGAAAGAGTGGCACTAAGACTTCTGAGAATGTGAGCAAGAGTAAGTGGTTACCGTATTCAACGTAATAAGCGCCCAGGGCGCTCTCAAAATTAGAAGTAGGGGGCTCTTATTAGAATATTATTTTGGTGGAAAAAAAACAGAGTTGAAAGATAAATTTTGTGGTTTATGCTGACAGCGTAAAGTGTTTATATACGACAGATATATTTTTCCAGAAATTTATTGCCCATAATTAAGGGTGCATATTACACATGAGTGCATATTATACGCGAATAAATAAGTCTTGTATACATTGATCAATCGGAACAGTGCTAATGGGGATTGTTCACTAGCCAATATATTAGCAAATATCACCGTGGGCGCTTGTTAGAGCGGGACGAATACGGTAAATATATTCCAGCCATATCATGGAGATCTGTAATTAATCAAGTGGGCGAGACCAACTAGCAGAGGATGTTATGTTGCTGAACACCACACTCAGCGATATGCCACCTGTATGACTGTATCCAGTAAATAATCGAGTCTGGGCTAGACAATCCAGTGATTGATATTATGAGCTGTTGGGGTACGATGACATGCAATCATTCAAGACACAGGGACTGACTATCCGATCAAACATCTGTCATACACACCCAGAAACATATATTCCAAATAAAGCCCATGCAAGTCTATAATAGTTTGCTAGTAGGGCTGGGGCCATACACCAACTGTGCGATCCAATATGTATCTCGATATCTTACTCACGATCTGATACGTACCACAACACATGCATGTGCTCTATCTGTGGCCTGTGAACTATATTTTACATGCACAGGATGGCTGAATACCTGGCACACTAACAATATACAGTTGGCTGTGTGAAGTATGGCACAACGGAAGAAAATGTTAACGTTTTCACTATTAACATTCACTACCAATTAGTGCTCAATCTCACTAAATTCAGATCTTAGTTCTCGCTACCGCTAAACAAAAATCTGAGGAATCCCATTACGGGTCACATCAGACCGACTTTTCGCGAACTTTGACTGACAAATGGAATGACTAACAAGAAGTCGACAATAGCCAATCAGTAGGCAGCTTAATGGAGCTTTACGGCACGAGTTTCAAACTGGCGTCTACGCTTCAAAACATATTTTGACATATACTCAATCAAAAAGAAAACTGATTTTAATGAAATTGAATTAGTGGTTAGGATAAGAGTTATTAAAGCAAATATTTAAGGTAAATATAGATATTTTTTACTTAGTGTGCGACTGCAATCAATACTTGTATCGAGAAGAAAGAAATCGCGATCCACCGATGCATTGGTGTATCGTCCCACCATTATTGGCAAGTCTAGATTCCTGCAGTTTCTGAAAATGAAAAGAGTCTCTGGGCGCTTTTTTATTATATTCTATTAGGATAATTCGGCAATATTTTTTTCTCTAAAATATTTTCATTTCAGAGACTAGTTGTTCTAACCCAGAAGCCCCAACAATTCATTTTCCATAGTGTTACCAAATGATCAGGTTTGCTTACATGTGACGATCCATCAGGGAAAGAGGGGCTGTTGGCTATATTAGTTAAAGGCTGACGATATGGGGACTGAAATTGGTATCCACTGCTGATCTCAATTTTTGACTTCTTGTGGCGTTTGTCCTGAAAGGATGAAAAGAAGAATCAAGTGGAGATAAAATACGAAATACATAAATGAAGAAAGGTTCTGGTCAAACTGCATTCATTTCAGTTTCTTATATTTTACTTCTTTGATGTTTGTTTGTTTGTTGTTTTTAAGCCACACTCAGCAATATTCCAGTTATATGACAGCGGTCTGTAAATAATCGAGTCTGGACCAGACAATCCAGTGATTGACATCATGAGCATCGATCCACGCAATTTGGATACGATGACATGCATCAACCAAGTCAGCGAACCTGACCACCCGATCCCGTTAGTCGCCTCTTACGACAAGCATAGTCGCCTTTTACAGCAAGCATGGGTTGCTGAAGACCTATTCTACCCCGATGAGAACTAAGTGTCCTTTGAAGTTAGACCACAACATTTGAACTCATTTCTCTTGCTGGCATACACGGTTCCCAGGAACTCATATCAAGGAATATCTGGTGCTTAGCAATAATTGAATAATAATAACTACTCCTCAAGTTTTTTTACTTGACCCCTATTTGTTCAAATTGGCTGCGATGTGATGCACTATGACTGTTGAAAGCCATCAAGAGCAGTTGATTCTAGTTATAGGGCCTATGGAAAAACCCTGATCATAATTAAAAAATCAGGGAAGTTAAAAATAAATTATGTGTGTAAATTTGATGAAATTTATTCCTTTTTTGGCAAAATCATCAGGCCGATTTAGAAAGAATTCTGTCATTGTTATTGATAATGTATATCAACCACTACTATGAAGCAATCAACATTCACACCAAAAGTGCTACCAAGTCAGCTTCTGTGCAACTAACCTAAATAGACTAAATGCCTGCTAATAAAACAATCAATCTCACTAATTGACCAACCTTTCATCTAAATCAAGCTTATTGAAGCTGTTGATTGTATGATGTTAATGTAAAACAAATTCCTTATTGACATACCTTGACTGTTCGAGGTGATTCCAGTTCATCACTTTGTCGCTTTGGTACAATTGCATTCCTTTGGCTTGGTGCTTGACTTCGTCGCTGAAATTTTGGATGAACTGCTTGAAATGGAATGCTGCATATAGGAAGGTTAGCTGATTTATAAGGAAGTAAAATGTTGTCCAAGTAAAACCCAATGAGCATAAATCCCATTAAGAAATGTTAATTTTCTAAAGTCACAATATCAAAATGATCTTTTTTGGAAATTAGACTAAAATTAGAAGTAACTATCTAGTTCAGTTCCATGAAAACTAATTGTACCTAGTGAGCGACAATGTCTGTGCTAAATGTTTACACCTATGGTATTTGTTATTCAAACTAGCTGATCAGTCTGTGCTAAAAAAACTTAAAATTGAGTGTACTAGTCTGAACATGGCACTTAACAACATTTTCAGATTTTAGTGTTATTATCTGAACTTTTATTAGCTGAGCTTACAAGACCGAACAGAATGTTACTAGACTCAGGCATTGCCTAGTGGCTAAAGTCACAGACTGGTCTTTCATATTGACAATAGATTTTAGTTTGTCACAACCAACAATAGAATATTCACTTTAAATACCTCTTACCACCAATTCAAAATATATATATAGTTAAGGGATAGTCAAAGGTAGAACTAACTCACTATAATGAAAGGTGGCTTAGTTCATGTTAATCAGGGCTGTCAATATGTTTATTACTGTCAGAATACTGCTGACAGAACGAATGTCAACATATCAACATTATGAACAAACAGTGGGTACTTTGGGCCTACATGTTTGAATTAGCATGTACTAGGATATATGACAAATCGGGATGTTTTCATGTCACACAATATTCTACATGTGGCTTGATCACGGACCTATGTTATCACGTGTTCTGGAATTCCACTCTATCTACAAATGGAAATCGCTCGTCATAGATGTAGGAAGTGCGTGGGACGAGCTTTCCATTTATAAGACCATCAAACCAACCTCTTACGCAATACAACTTTCAACTTCACTCCGGCATAATCCACTACACTCGCTTTACTACGCTTGGTCAGAAGTAACATGACCTGGGGTAACTACGTTGATTCCAAAGTTTACACAGTCAGAGACATTAGGAGACACTTTTAATATCTTGGAATCACGAAAATTCTGAAATATTTGGGAACAAGTGTTTGACACAAGGTGGGAAATAATGTAACCTACCATTTTGGATAATTTAAATCCTTATTTGACAGGTTTCAATTTAATTCAAAACTTCGTAAGCCTGTACTTTTCTTGGGATATCGTCATTCTTGTCATCAGTGATAGTTTCATCAAAAATTCTATTTTTTGTAAGGGTGTTTCCCCATCTGCTTTCGTAGTAGGCCGCCATTCCAGTGGAGATTTCCTTCGTCGGTTTCACCAACCAATCAAACAGCTTTCAAGTGAGATATCAACCAATCAGAAATAAGTACGAAACATCGTGATTGGAACGGCTTTCCTCGAGAGGGACGACGCTGAATGTGGGTCACAGGGTGAAGGGGAGGAAATCACATGGAAATGGTCAAATATTTCATCACCGCTCGGGTATTTGACCATTAGATGGATAGCAAAAGCAAGTCAGAATAAAGAATGACCCAGGAATTGAAGCTGCATAGTCCGGCTGGGGCTGAGCCAGCGGTCTATCAGTGGCCCATCCCTGGATCGGTAAGCAATGTGTGTTGACCGTCGATTCACGATACCAATCGCAAAGTAAATACACTGAGAAATACCCCTTTGACGGGGAAAATCTCTCAAAATTCTTATTATATGTTAACTATATTATTTTTTTTATTTGTTCCAGGACGGAAGAGACGGAGCACACGAAATTATCGACACGATAAGGTAAGACATCTCACTTGTCTGTTATTGCTCTGGGCCGATTTTTTTCTGTGCCAATGACCTGCGACTTACTGACACGCGATGCGAGTGGACACTGGTGTCTTTCTTGGTCTGCTTTTATTGTGACTAGAACCCGCCTTGCACAGGCGTCTCGTAGATGCAATAATGTCTTTTATGATCATGCCAAATTACGAACGAACATTCCTCTAAAGAAGTGCATACGTGTTCGTTCGCTTATGGGTATGCAGTGCTTACAAATGCATGCACTTGCTAACTGAACAAGCCTTCTGTGTGGAAGTAATGTATGGGATTTTTAACCTACTTTCCACGTAGTACGTCCGTATAGTTAACTAAAAAATGTCAGTAACGTATACCTCATTTCAATACACTTCAACACTATTAACCTACAGATTGTCAGAATGAAAGTGAAATGTAAATTTGTTGAATTTATTTGTGTATTGAACAAAGGATTGCCGCGAATTTGAGGCACAGTGACCCTAACTCCTTATTTGGAAAGTTGATTGACAGATGATAACTTCACGCAGGTCATGGTCGGGTCATCACACCGGGTGCCTTTCAATGATTGTTTTGTGAATGACAACATTTTGACATCGTTTTATATCATAATTCTTGTTCTCATTGTTTGACTTTGTGTAAGCTTTTATCTACTTTTGCTTTGACCTAATTTAGCAAGGTCAGCTGAAACATGACATGCTTTTCTTTTAGACTGAATTCTTATGACACTCAATGAAATAAATTGAAAACAGATGCCATGCAATAGTTTGTTTACATTTGTGCTTTTTAAATTGTCTTCAAACCACCTGCACTTTATTTTGTTGATGTAGCCTATACTGCTATAGCTATGGAAGTACATATACTGCCAGACGTAAAGAGCACACATCATGCTCACTGTTATTTCCGAAATTCTTAACAGCTCCTATTACAATTTATATATCGTTGATAAATAATGAATGTTATTTTCTCTCATATTCTGATATATGGTATTATACAAGGCAAGACTTGACAGACTGATTCAGCTTCAGTCTCACTTGACTTGTGTTTTGTGACGTGATGAGTTACACGTTTGTTTTGTATTAAGTGTATTTCATAACAGATTGTCCATGTTTCCATGGTTTCATCAATTTTGTATTTCAAAAGCAAAACAAATAAGGTTGAGGTTTTGTGAAATCCAACTCACTGATGAATATTTAGACTAAACAAACAAGATATGTATGTATGTTGATTTCATCAAATACATTTAAACCCCTTTGCTATCATTATGATCATGGAAGTCTGCGGATTTGGCCACAATTTCGCTGCCCAAGTCAAGTAAACTTTCTTCTGGTGTAGAGAGATCAGCTTATTGTTAGCCTTATTCTAAGACTCAAATCCCTGAAAAAAAAGCTAAAATATAAGTTCGGGCAAGTAGACTCAAAAGGTCTAGGCACATATTGGCATGGTAAATGGAGAGCATTATGGTTTGTTTGTTTCTTGTTTAACGCCGCACTCAGCAATATGATGTCCATGTGGCCTATTATGTACATGTACAATACATGATATAGAAAACAAATTTATTAGTATTTTCCTCATAACCATTCTTGATTAATATTACCATACATTTTACCTTCAGTAATAATATTGAATATGTAGTGATTGTCATATATATACATATTAATATGTTGTCACAATATGCAGAATTGTTTTGCTTAAAACTGAATTGACATTTGAAACCAAGAACTTATTTCCTTGCTCAATAGGTTTTTCCAAAATTAATGTCGATTTCAGCAGTAGGAACTGTAACTATCCTTGTTTCAGATATGTGTCCCCAGAGAAAGTTGAAACTCATGAACAGATGTATGAGATTTGCTTATAGATTTCGAACAGGAATTTTGCCAAAGGGAAAAATTAAAACCGCTTTCGTTTCCAAATTTCCGCAGTTCCCCAAACAACAATAAATTAATCAATAGTAACAGAATTCAGGATTATTCATGTTTTACTATATTTAACCAGACACAAAATGTGTCAGTTGTTGTTTAGACTGGTAATGGCTCTTATAGCAGTGAAACTATTGTATTTAAATCACCACTAGGCTAGTCAATGGTTGCTAAGCTCCCAGTAAACACTTCTAATGCCAGAGAGCCTTCAGTTGAAAGAGGTCTTTCAGTACTGGGATACACCAAGTGCAGTTCCTGAAAGCCATTTTTCTGTGGTTCTTGCTTTTTGCCTGACAGGAAAGCATGTTGCCTGTGCTGGTATAAAATTGTGATCATGATAAGGATGAATGTTTTCATGGAACGCTTATGGCTTTACTTGGTAGTAGGAAGGATATTTTTAGACATATTTCTGACAGTAAGGTCAACAAGTAAGGTCAAATTCCGTATTCATGATATGACATGCTGTGAACAAATTCTGTGGTACGTGCGGGAAATGAAATGTAGCTTAATTTAGGAAGTGGAACTGCTAACAGAGCAAAGTGGGCATGTTTGATTTGTATTCATGGTATTTGTAATATTTTGTAGGAAATTTATTTTGCAGTTTCCTCATTTTCTTATTGGGAAACAGGATGTAACTTGAATCATGCAGAATGACTGTACTGATGATTAATATTAAATGTTGAAGAAAAGGGAAAATAGGCATGTGCTGGTGATTAACAGAATTAAGACAATGGAAGTGATACATTTATCATAATTATATTATTAGCAGTTAGTAATAGTTTTGCTCACTATCTATCAGCTATACTTTGTGATTTCAAAGGGTTTTATGGATTTAGTAATGTCAGTGTTCAAAATTTAAGTATGAAAGTCTGGTGGGGGGTACTTGTCATAGCCCTGATGTTAGAGGTGAGGTGAAATTGGGTTTAACGTCGCGTCCAAGATTATTGCACTTATTTAGCGATGTGTGTGTGTGTGTGTGTGTGTGTGTGTGTGTGTGTGTATGTGTGTGTGTCTGCTTGTACTAGACCGGACTGCTAGCTCACTGAGATACCATGCCCCAGTTTAACATGAATACCCCACTCAGACACAGTATACTGACTCTGAGCCGACCAGTCTTTGCTTTAACCCCTTAATGCCGAGTGCCAGACAGGGTAACAACAAGTACCATCTTTTAACGTCTTTTGGTATGACGCGGGCGGGGATCGAACCCCGGACCTTCCGCTCTCCGGGCGGACGCTCTACCACTAGACCACGGAGGCGGTCCCTGATGTTAGAAGGTAAACACTAATATGCAGTCAACAATGCCCAGTTTCCTTTACTATGCAAACTAGTAGTTGATGGCGTGAGCACACTTTCAGGTTTTCCAGGCCCGACACTATAACCCTCTGACCTTTACAAATTTGGGGTATCTTGAGGACTTACAGTTTCTGTGTATATGGTAATGGACTATAGTACATGGAAAAATGGTGATCAAGCTATAGTGTTTTTCAACTGAAAATTGGCAAGTATGGAATACATCCGCCTGCCTATCATATTAGCTTAGCATTAACATGACATAAGGACAATTGGATATTTCCTTGTATTTGTTTTAAATACAACTAATTGACAGCTGACAAACAAACTGTTTTGTTTGATTTTTTACACTGCCTTCAGTTCAGCCCAATATTTTTAACCACTGTTCCAGATATGTAGAAGGGAAAGTCATGACTCGGCAGGGAAGTAAAATAAAGTACTCTAATTTTGTCAACAAGGTTAAACAAACATTTCAATGTTAGTATTTTCACAGTGGTAAGACTAACATGTTCCTAACCATGCTAACATGAATTTTTAAGCATGGAAATTGATATTATCTCACTTTGATACAGCTCTGTGGGCTGTGGTGCTTGGCTGCTCTGTCAATGCTCTGCTATTTCCAGAGCTTTTGATAGGCCCTTGATGAAGATTTACATCCCTTGAGGAGGACAATACCCAGGACTTGTGTTATGTAACATATCTTGTCATTATAATCAATACTTAGACAAATGTACGCTTGCTGTAATCTTTTTCATCATATTGATTTTTTCCCAAGGTAGAATCCTCAGACACTTCACTTTATTGTTTCAACGAGTGGGAGTTTATCAACAGTTTTCATGAAACCACAAAGGTTTGCCTGCCGGAAGCTGTGGGCTTTTGGTCAATATCGTCACAGAGAAGGGCGTGACTTTTACCATATTAGGTAATAATGACGTACGTACCTGTGAGTGATATTGATTGGGCTAGAGAGTCGCCACTGATATGGAGAAGTTTGTTCATACCGAATATAGGTCAGACAGGCGAACACCGTAATTAGGTTAGTTTCAGACGAGCTGCTTACTAGTAAACGTACCACATACTTCATGCCGTACCATCCAGCCAAGAAATCTCTTGATCGATACAGGACAGAAAAAAAAGTGGAGTGGAGGGTCAATAACCTTCTATTTTAAGCACCAGGCCACCAGGTGGCATGTCTGCAGTGAGATGCCGAGATGCGCTTGGAAGGTATCCCTCCTCCTCAAGTAGTTGTCTATGATTTACCATCACTGAGGAGGAACCTGTTACATGTGGCAGCATCTTGATGCTATTTTCTGTTGATTTGTGCTTTCGCTGTCGAGTCAGCAGATACTGCCTGTTACCTCAAAGCTTAGCGTTGTACAATTTCCACAAATAGATGCACTGGCACATGTAAACAGTCGGATTGAAAAGTTGCTTGGTTGCAGACATTAGCCAAAAATGTAAACCATTCTTGTGAGTTATGTAGGGAGAACATTATTCATTAAGGAAAATACAATATTCTGTTGGTGTATTTTACAAGATAATGCTCATTTTGTTCTGATAATTGTAAGCGGCAAAAAATAGTTGATCAGAAATAAGAAGAATTATATTTTGTAGGTTTGGAGCTAAACTCAAAAGCTTTACTCACCCAGTTAAAGATAAAATGCCCTTGCAATGTTGAAACAATGCAGACACTGGGAAATTTGTACTTGACCTCAGGAATCTGTACTAGCCCTTGGCTAGTGGGCTAGTGTTAAGTTCTAACCCTGTTTTGTTGCA